TCAATTCCTGGTACCTTGTTTTTTGCCAATTCCTTCTGTGCACCTTGGATTTCTTGCTGTATCATTGGATCTTGATCATATGCTACCTCATGAAATGGTTGAACATCAGCTGTTTCATTTTGGTACAGTGACTCTGTGTATTCCTTCCATCTTCTCTTGATGCTTTCTGCATCATTCAGTGATTTGCCTAGAGAATCTTTCAATAACAAAAGTCTAGGCTTGAAAATTTTTTTTTCTCAGTTCCCCCAGCTTGAGAAATGCTGAGAGACTTATTCACAGGCTTGAGTGTAGACACTTGTTAACATGGGTGACGGGGCAGCAAAATACAAGAGGGAGGTTGGCAAAGGAAAGATGAAGGTAGCAGAATCCACAGTGCCACACCAGGACTCCATCTACTGCAATAGGGATTTCGATTTCAACACCTATTCTGTGTGCGTGTATGTGTGGGGAGGCACAGTTAAATCCATAACACTTACCATACATCATAAAAATGGTAGACTTAAGGTAAGAGCTGAAACTATAAAACATAGAGGAACACATGGAGATAACTTTGTACCCTTGGACTAGACTAAGAGTTCATAGATCTGATCTCAAAACAAGAGTCATAAGTGGAAAGACTGATCAATTGGATTTAAAAAGCATTAACTTTTCCAAAGACCATTTGAAAGTAAAATATATGCCACAGACTGAGAGGAAATACCTGATAAAAGCCTTATAGCCAGAATAGATAATGAACTCTTATAACTCATTAGTAAGACAAATATTCTAGTTTAAATATTAGCAAAATACTGGAGTAGTCATTTTATTGAATAAGACATACAGCTTTCCAATAATCACATGAAGAGATGTCATTGTAAAAATCCATATTTAAATCTTTAGTTATGGACAGTTACCCACTAGAATGGAGTTCTGGTGTGGTGCTGTGGGTTAATGCGCTGGACTGCAAGTTGGATTGATCCACAAGGTCAGCACTCACCAGTCACTCCTCAGAAACTATATACAGGACTACTATGGGTCAGAAGGTTCTCGACGGTTCTTAACAACATCAACAAAAACCTATTATTATGAATAAAGTTTTATTAGAAAATACACATGTGCACACACAGTTTAACATAAATTAACCACATGACCCAGAAATTCCATTCCTAAGAATCTAAGAGAAGGGAAAACATATGTCCATACAAAGGTTTGTTTGTGAATGTTTATGTAAACATTGTTTTAATAGTTGCTATTGTAAATAGTGCTGCTGTGAACATTGTTGTGCATATGTCTACTCATAATTATGGCTTGTATTTCTTGTGGGTAGAATATGAGAATTCTTATACTAATTTTTCATCATTTCTATAAATTGAAATTATTTAAAACTTTTTATAATACAAAAAGAGTTAGAAATGATCTGATTTAGTTTTATACTATTTTATAAGAAGAATTAAAAAATATCTTGGTTGCTTTTAAAAATCCAACCCTATTGTGTCATTTTATTTAAACTTTTAATTCTTTATTCTTTGATTTACTATTTATTTTGAGCAAATAATATGCTTGGCATTTTTCTTTTTCTGCAATGCAGTTGGTAAGCAAGTTCAGTGACCCTTTTATACTGTGGTGCATCACTGTAAGATAAGCACTTGACCTCAATGTTGGTTTGAACTACGAAGTCGGTGGTTCAAACTTACCAGCTGCTCCTTAGAAACCCTATGCAGCGTCTCTATGAGTTGGAATTGACTCAACAGCACTTAACATCAACAACAACACATGTGTCCCGTCTAAGCCATAAAGCAGTCATATCTGTGGAAATATATTATGAGGGTATTTTTGTGTCTCTTACCTTTGCAGATCACTGTGCAGATATTGTAAGCAACATACAAATCTGAAGAACAGATTTGAT